TGCACTTAGGTGGGTGTTCCAGGTGGGGACCTCTGATGTCTTAATGCACATAGGTGGGTGTTCCAGGTGGGGACCTCTGATGTCTTAATGCACTTAGGTGGGTGTTCCATGTCAGGACCTCTGATGTCTTAATGCACTTAGGTGGGTGTTCCAGGTGGGGACCTCTGATGTCTTAATGCACATAGGTGGGTGTTCCAGGTCAGGACCTCTGATGTCTTAATGCACATAGGTGGGTGTTCCAGGTCAGGACCTCTGATGTCTTAATGCACATAGGTGGGTGTTCCAGGTCAGGACCTCTGATGTCTTAATGCACATAGGTGGGTGTTCCAGGTCAGGACCTCTGATGTCTTAATGCACTTAGGTAGGTGTTCCAGGTCAGGACCTCTGATGTCTTAATGCACATAGGTGGGTGTTCCAGGTCAGGACCTCTGATGTCTTAATGCACATAGGTGGGTGTTCCAGGTCAGGACCTCTGATGTCTTAATGCACATAGGTGGTGTTCCAGGTCAGGACCTCTGATGTCTTAATGCACATAGGTGGGTGTTCCAGGTCAGGACCACTGATGTCTTAATGCACTTAGGTAGGTGTTCCAGGTCAGGACCTCTGATGTCTTAATGCACATAGGTAGGTGTTCCAGGTCAGGACCTCTGATGTCTTAATGCACTTAGGTGGGTGTTCCAGGTGGGGACCTCTGATGTCTTAATGCACTTAGGTAGGTGTTCCAGGTCAGGACCTCTGATGTCTTAATGCACATAGGTGGGTGTTCCAGGTCAGGACCTCAGAGAAGACCAGGGACCCCGGGGCAGCATTCTCCGAAGGGAAGCAAATGTGTTCTCTGTACTTCTCTGAGGAGACTTTTTAAGGGCGACTGGAGAATTAAATGACAGAGACACTTACAATGGAGCTCCATTCAGAAACCTTTCTTACTGGTCCACATAGATCAGGACGGGGTTACAAGGTCTGCCAAGTGTTTATTGCCTCCTTTACTTTCTATCCCGATGGTGGAAATCTCTTTATCTGAACATTTGGGCAGCAATAGGAATGTTCCCAGAGCAGAACACAGAGAGGAGGTCCGGTTTGTATTGCTGCCTATGGGGGGGAATTCCTGTCCTGGGGACAACACTCCCGAAGGGGGGTGTAATACCTGAATGTAGAATGACGATGACATGAAGGTCTCCTATTCTTCCACATTGGTGGATATTAGCCTGTCAGGGGCCACATTACAACATACAGAGGCTGGATTGACACCTCACAATGGCAGTGTCCATCTGGCAGTAGGGTCTGAACACATTGCAGGCACCTCTATGAAGTTCTGTTGATTCTGGACATAGCTGGGAAGATATATTGATTCCGGCCCAAAAATAGGCCGTTGGCTGGATGTCCTGTCCTTCAGCCAAAGCAAACCATACTAATACTTCAAATATGGCGTTTTCAGGCTTCAGACACTATCGAGTTTTGAAATGGCAGCTTCTGGAGCTCTCACATCATAGGGCAGAGGGATGTGTCATATGTTCTCTTGACCTCATGCTTTAAGCACCTATACTGCCAATGTAAACATGGCTTGTACATGAAGAAATGGGCCCCTGACTTCATCTTCCAGCATTTATCAACCCTACAAATCCAGAAAGCCGAACCATAGCTAGCATGTTCTACCTCCAGCCATGGTTGTTGGTTGACCATTCATCTCTAACTAGTTAACGTGTATCTCTGGTGCAGGGCGGACTGACAACTCATGGGGCCCCCAGGCAATAGGGGATCATGGGGCCCCTGTGTCCTTGCCCAAACTCAAAACAGCCTATGAAAAAGGTACCAGGGGCATCTCATGGGGCCCCCTACTGACCCTGGGCCCTCGGGCAGTGCCTGAGTTTCCAAATGGTCAGTCCGCCCCTACTCTGGTGACAATGTCAATTCATCTTTTCATCTCCATATTGTCCTCCAACAGGGGCGGACTGACAACTCATGGGGCCCCCGGGCAATAGGGGATCATGGGGCCCCTGTGTCCTTGCCCAAACTCAAAAAAGCCTTTGAAAAAGGTACCAGAGGCATCTCATGGGGCCCCCTACTGACCCCGGGCCCTCAGGCAGTGCCCGAGTTTCCAAATGGTCAGTCCACCCCTACTCTGGTGACAATGTCAATTCATCTCTTCATCTCCATATTGTCCTCCAACAGGGGCGGACTGACAACTCATGGGGCCCCCCGGGCAATAGGGGATCATGGGACCCCTGTGTCCTTGCCCAAACACAAAAAAGCCTATGAAAAAGCTACCAGGGGCATCTCATGGGGCCCCCTACTGACCCCGGGCCCTCGGGCAGTGCCCGAGTTTCCAAATGGTCAGTCCGCCCCTACTCTGGTGACAATGTCAATTCATCTCTTCATCTCCATATTGTCCTCCAACAGGGGCGGACTGACAACTCATGGGGCCCCCCGGGCAATAGGGGATCATGGGACCCCTGTGTCCTTGCCCAAACACAAAAAAGCCTATGAAAAAGCTACCAGGGGCATCTCATGGGGCCCCCTACTGACCCCGGGCCCTCGGGCAGTGCCCGAGTTTCCAAATGGTCAGTCCGCCCCTACTCTGGTGACAATGTCAATTCATCTCTTCATCTCCATATTGTCCTCCAACAGGGGCGGACTGACAACTCATGGGGCCCCCCGGGCAATAGGGGATCATGGGGCCCCTGTGTCCTTGCCCAAACACAAAAAAGCCTATGAAAAAGCTACCAGGGCATCTCATGGGGCCCCCTACTGACCCCGGGCCCTCGGGCAGTGCCCGAGTTTCCAAATGGTCAGTCCGCCCCTGGGTGTCCTACATGTGTGGATGTTGCTGTGTTACATGAAACTATTAGAATAGTTTTTTACATTTTAGAATGAGGTGCCTTGGGAGTATCCATGGCCGAGCAGCTGCATCCAAGCCTTCCATCACCAAGTGCAATGCAAAGCGTCGGATGCCGTGGTGTAAAGCACGCCGCCACTGGACTCTAGAGCAGTGGGGGGCGTGTTCTCTGGAGTGACCAATCACGCTTCTCTGTCTGGAAATCTGATGGACATGCCTGGGTTTGGCGGTTGCCAGGAGAACGGTACTTGCCTGACTGCATTGTGCCAAGTGTAAAGTTTGGTGGAGGGGGGATCAGGGGCGGACTGACAACTCATGGGGCCCCCGGGCAATAGGGGATCATGGGGCCCCTGTGTCCTTGCCCAAACTCAAAAAAGCCTATGAAAAAGGTACCAGGGGCATCTCATGGGGCCCTCTACTGCCCCCGGGCCCTCAGGCGGTGCCCAAGTTTCCAAATGGTCAGTCTGCCCCTGGGGGGGATTATGGTGTGGGGGTGTTTTTCAGGGGTTGGGCTTGGCCCCCTAGTTCCAGTGAAGGGAACTCTTAAGGCGACATTTTGGACAATTTCATGCCCCCAACTTTGTGGGAGGAGTTTGGGGATGGCCCCTTCCTGTTCCAACATGACTGCCCACCAGTGCACAAAGCAAGGTCCATAAAGACATGGAGGAGCCAGTTTGGGGTGGAGGAACTTGACTGTCCTGCACAGAGTCCTGACCTCAACCCCATAGAACACCTTTGGGATGAATTAGAGCGGAGACTGCGAGCCAGGCCTCCTCCCCCGACATCAGTGCCCCTCCCCCGACATCAGGGAGGAACTCAACCTCAACCCTACTGAACACCTTTGGGATGAACTGGAATGCCGATGAAAATCCAGGTCTTCTCATCCAACATCAGTCCTGACCTCACAAATGGACACAAATTCCAACAGTCACCCTCCAAAATCTTATGGAAAGTCTTCCCAGGACAGTGAATGATGTTATGACCACAGAGGGGATCACCCCTGATTAATGTGAGTGGGGTACACGAGTGGGGGAGGGTAACGTCTCATGTGACTCTGGTGTTTGAATGAGACGTCCAACAAATTCATTTTGGTGTAAAGGGTTGGGGGTCCAACGTTGGGCTGTTGGGTGTTAAGAAGTTCCTTTACACTGTCACTTACTAAGTGCTGATCAGAAAATAAAGGACAGTTGTCGCCATCGGCTACGCGGACACATCTCCTTCACAGCCATTTCTACACATGGAGCCCATTGTGATCCGGAAGGTTCTACTTCACCGTCAGCTTTATCCAAACCCCAGCTAGGCTCTAAGTAAAGACACACAAGTACTTACCTTTCAGTACTTACCACACTGCCGCTCACCGAAACGTCCGAGAGTGTATACAAACATGGGGGCAGCCAGACTCCATGCAGACTTTGTACCTATCTATTATATACATGGGGGCAGCCAGACTCCATGCAGAGTCTTTCCCTATATATATATATAATACAGGGGAGCAGACAGACTCCATGCAGAGTCTTTCCATATATATAAAATATACAGGGAGAGCAGCCAGATTCCATGCAGAGTTTGTTTCTATCTATATATAATATACAGGGGAGCAGACAGACTCCATGCAGAGTCTTTCCATATATATAATATACAGGGGAGCAGCCAGACTCCATGCAGAGTTTGTATCTATATATAATATACAGCAGACAGGCAGAGTCTTTCCATATATATAATATACAGGGGACTCCATGCATGAGTTTGTATCTATATATAATATACAGGGGAGCAGACAGACTCCATGCAGAGTCTTTCCATATATATAATATACAGGGGAGCAGACAGACTCCATGCAGAGTCTTTCTCTAAATATAATATACAGGGGAGCAGCCAGACTCCATGCAGAGTTTGTATCTATATATAATATACAGGGGAGCAGCCAGACTCCATGCAGAGTTTGTATCTATATATAATATACAGGGGAGCAGACAGACTCCATGCAGAGTTTGTATCTATATATAATATACAGGGGAGACAGACAGACTCCATGCAGAGTCTTTCCATATATACTTTTTATATAATATACAAATATACAGGGGAGCAGCCAGACTCCATGCAGCGCACTGTGCGCTTCAGCATGCGCTGACCCCGCCCTGTCATGTGACGTGGACCCACCACTTGGTGGCTGAGTGGCTGTTGTTCCCAGTGGCTTCCACTTTGTTATAATCCCACTAACAGTTGAGCGTGGAATATTTAGATTAGCCAGGGAAATGTCACGGATGGACTTATTGCCCAGGTGGCCACCTATCACGGGACCACGCTTGGAGTCACTGAGAATCTCCTGAGAGCGACCCATTCTTTCACCAATGTTTGTAGAAGCCGTCTGCATGCCTAGGGGCTTGATTGTATACACCTGTGTCCATGGAGGGGATTGGAACACCTGAATCACATGATATGGAGGGGATGGAGGGGATTGGAACACCTGAATCACATGATATGGAGGGGATTGGAAACCTGAACCTGAATCACATGATATGGAGGGGATTGGAAACACCTGAACATCACACGATTGGAGGGGATTGGAACACCTGAATCACATGATTGGGAGAGGATTTGGAACACCTGAATCACATGATATGGAGGGGATTGGAACACCTGAATCACATGATATGGAGGGGATTGGAACACCTGAATCACATGATATGGAGGGGATTGGAACACCCGAATCACATGATGGAGGGGAGGGGATGATTGGAACACCCGAATCACATGATATGGAGGGGATTGGAACACCCGAATGGAACCATGATATGGAGGGGATTGGAAACACCCGAATCATTGGAATGAAATGGAGGGGATTGGAACACCTGAATCACATGATTGGGAGGGGATTGGAACACCTGAATCACATGATATGGAGGGGATTGGAACACCTGAATCACACATGATTGGGAGGGGATTGGAACACCTGAATCACATGATTGGAGGGGAGGGGATTGGAGCACCTGAACAATCACATGATATGGAGGGGATTGGAACACCTGAATCACATGATATGGAGGGGATTGGAGCACCTGAATCACATGATATGGAGGGGATTGGAACACCTGAATCACATGATATGGAGGGGATTGGGAACACCTGAATCACATGATTGGGAGGGGATTGGAGCACCTGAATCACATGATTGGGATTGGGAATCACATGATATGGGAGGGGATTGGAGCACCTGAATCCCATGATTTGGGAGGGCGGGGACAATACTTTTGGCAATATAGTGTATATTGTACTGTATATAATTACCTTCCTCACATAGTAACATGGGGCTTCATACATAGTGAGACTGTTAGAGTTCAGGGAATATTCATCTACAAAAACTTATTTTAGGGACTACTATTAATCTATAAAACATTCTAAGACTCAAATAAAACTTTATTAGGTTTTCACTTTTCATTGACTTCATAGAATGAATGCTGGTGATGTATTCCTCTGGATACTCACTAGGGGGCGGTCTTCACTATGGGGCCCATGGAAGAGGGTTGTTTTATTTCATTGTCTGAAATTCACCAATCAGCTGATTGGAATATAAAGTGAAGTACAGGAAATAAACACAATAATAGGAAATAAACACAATAATAGGAAATAAACAAATAGTAGGAAATAAAACAATTATAGGAAAAAAAACACAATAATAGGAAATAAATATAGGAAATAAAATTATAGGAAATAAATACAATTGTAGGAAATAAACACAAAATTGTAGGAAATAAAACAAAATAGGAAATAAATAAAATTGTAGGAAATAAATACAATAGTAGGAAATAAATACAATTATAGGAAATAGTAAAAACACAATTATAAAAAAAAAACACAAAAATAGGAAATAAACACAAAGGAAAAATAGGAAATAAATACAATTATAGGAAATAAACACAATAATAAAAAAAAATAAACACAATTATAGGAAAAAACACAATAGTAGGAAATAAACACAATAATAGGAAATAAACACAATAATAGGAAATAAACACAAATAGGAAATAAACACAATAATAGGAAATAAACACAATTATAGGAAATAAATAAAATTACAATAATAGGAAATAAATACAATTATAAAAAAAAAAAAAAAACACAATAATAGGAAATAAACACAATTATAGGAAATAAAACACATATTATAGGAAATAAACACAATAGTAGGAAATAAACACAATTATAGGAAATAAATACAATTATAGGAAAAATAAACACAATAATAGGAAATAAACACAATTATAGGAAATAAACACAATTATAGGAAATAAAGTGAATTATTGAATATAAAATGCGATCTTTTCACCTTTAATTCTCCAAACTGACAATAAATCAGAAGTGAGAGATTTGCCTTCGTGACAATTGCGACATACAAGGTGTTCAGGGATTGTTCGATGTCACAGATGATCTTCATAGTTACTTGTTTAGATATGTTGGGGACTCCACTTGCACAGATAGTTGTGAAGCGATTGGGAAAGGTATTGGTCTTCCTATAGAATGATCCATCAGTCATATGGGGGAGGGGCGAGTCTACCGCTCCATGCCTGTTAACCCCCGATTCACCTGATGGCACTTTGTAGCACTAGCGCCCCCCTCTGGGCAGGCAGAGATCTTGAAAGATTTTCTTTTTTTTTCTTCTCGGGGACGTATGAATGCTCAGCTGCATCTCTGATTGGCTGACAGCAGCGACCAATCAGAAACAGCTTTGGACCAAAATGCCCTGATGGAGGAATGGTTGCAGTGAAGCTCATTTCCTCTGAGCCCAGACCGCCATGGACGACACCGATGGGGTACAAGCGTCACTCAGCCCACTTCCTCTGAGCCCAGACCGTCATGGACGACACCGATGGGGTACAAGCGTCACTCAGCCCACTTCCTCTGAGCCCAGACCGTCATGGAACCAACCGATGGGGTACAAGCGTCACTCAGCCCACTTCCTCTGAGCCCAGACCGTCATGGAACCAACCGATGGGGTACAAGCGTCACTCAGCCCACTTCCTCTGAGCCCAGACCGTCATGGAACCAACCGATGGGGTACAAGGGTCACTCAGCCCACTTCCTCTGAGCCCAGACCGTCATGGAACCAACCGATGGGGTACAAGGGTCACTCAGCCCACTTCCTCTGAGCCCAGACCGTCATGGAACCAACCGATGGGGTACAAGGGTCACTCAGCCCACTTCCTCTGAGCCCAGACCGTCATGGAACAAACCGATGGGGTACAAGGGTCACTCAGCCCACTTCCTCTGAGCCCAGACCGTCATGGAACAAACCGATGGGGTACAAGGGTCACTCAGCCCACTTCCTCTGAGCCCAGACCGTCATGGAACCAACCGATGGGGTACAAGGGTCACTCAGCCCACTTCCTCTGAGCCCAGACCGTCATGGAACCAACCGATGGGGTACAAGGGTCACTCAGCCCACTTCCTCTGAGCCCAGACCGTCATGGAACCAACCGATGGGGTACAAGGCGTCACTCAGCCCACTTCCTCTGAGCCCAGACCGTCATGGAACCAACCGATGGGGTACAAGGGTCACTCAGCCCACTTCCTCTGAGCCCAGACCGTCATGGAACCAACCGATGGGGTACAAGGGTCACTCAGCCCACTTCCTCTGAGCCCAGACCGTCATGGAACCAACCGATGGGGTACAAGGGTCACTCAGCCCACTTCCTCTGAGCCCAGACCGTCATGGAACAAACCGATGGGGTACAAGGGTCACTCAGCCCACTTCCTCTGAGCCCAGACCGTCATGGAACCAACCGATGGGGTACAAGGGTCACTCAGCCCACTTCCTCTGAGCCCAGACCGTCATGGAACCAACCGATGGGGTACAAGGGTCACTCAGCCCACTTCCTCTGAGCCCAGACCGTCATGGAACCAACCGATGGGGTACAAGGGTCACTCAGCCCACTTCCTCTGAGCCCAGACCGTCATGGAACCAACCGATGGGGTACAAGCGTCACTCAGCCCACTTCCTCTGAGCCCAGACCGTCATGGAACCAACCGATGGGGTACAAGCGTCACTCAGCCCACTTCCTCTGAGCCCAGACCGTCATGGAACCAACCGATGGGGTACAAGGGTCACTCAGCCCACTTCCTCTGAGCCCAGACCGTCATGGAACCAACCGATGGGGGTACAAGGGTCACTCAGCCCACTTCCTCTGAGCCCAGACCGTCATGGAACAAACCGATGGGGTACAAGGGTCACTCAGCCCACTTCCTCTGAGCCCAGACCGTCATGGAACCAACCGATGGGGTACAAGCGTCACTCAGCCCACTTCCTCTGAGCCCAGACCGTCATGGAACCAACCGATGGGGTACAAGCGTCACTCAGCCCACTTCCTCTGAGCCCAGACCGTCATGGAACCAACCGATGGGGTACAAGGGTCACTCAGCCCACTTCCTCTGAGCCCAGACCGTCATGGAACAACCGATGGGGTACAAGGGTCACTCAGCCCACTTCCTCTGAGCCCAGACCGTCATGGAACAAACCGATGGGGTACAAGGGTCACTCAGCCTTGGTGCAGAAAGTCTAAATATGACGCAGTCTAATAGGTGCCAGTGTTAGACCGAGCACATGCAGCAATCCGGATCAGGCCAGGTCAGACACGGCCCCCCTCTCTGGTCAGACACGCCCCCCCTCTCTAGTCAGATACCCCCCCTCTCTAGTCAGACACACTCCTCCTCTCTGGTCTCTCTGGTCAGACACACCTCCTCTTTGGTCAGGCATGCCCCCCTCTGGTCAGAAACTCCTCCTCTCTGGTCAGACACCTTCTCTCTGGTTTCTCTCTGGTCAGACACACCTCCTCTCTGGTCAGACACTCCTCCTCTCTGGTCAGACATGCCTCCTCTCTGGTCAGACACACCTCCTCTCTGGTCAGACACACCTCCTCTCTGGTCAGACACGACACACCTCCTCTCTGGTCAGACACACCTCCTCTCTGGTCAGACACGCCTCCTCTCTGGTCAGACACGCCTCCTCTCTGGTCAGACACACCTCCTCTCTGGTCAGACACATCCTCCTCTCTGGTCAGACACACCTCCTCTCTGGTCAGACACCTTCTCTCTGGTTTCTCTCTGGTCAGGCACGCCCCCTCTCTTCCCCTGCATACAAGTCTATGCCAGGATGCTGAGGGGGGTGTGACTGCTACTGAGCTCTGCCAGCACAGAGCACTGGAGGACGGATGAGCACAGGAAGCAATGTTTTCACTAACAGAACGAGTATTTTCCGGCATTTTCAGGAAGATCAATCAGAAATGGAAGTCTTTGGCCGGACAGAACGAGAAATGCTAGAAAATCGTATGAGACTTTCATTGGGTTTTGCAGATCCACCACTGAAGTACATAGACATGACCTCTGAACCTGCTGATGGTCTTCATAGAGCCTTCTACTAGACAACATAGCCTAGCCAACGCCCTCATTGTTCTAAACCAGGGGTCTCCAAACTATGACCCTCCAGCTGTTGAAGTACTACAAGTCCCATCATGCCCCTGCCTCTGGGAGTCTTGTATGTGGGCTGTCAGTCTTGCAAGGCCTCATGGGACTTGCAGTTCCTCAACATCTGGAGGGCCATAGTTTGGAGACCCCCTGTTCTAAACAATGCAGCCTGGTCACCAACCCGCCCCCACAACCTGATTGGACAACAAAGGAGAAGCAGCACACTGATGAGGTCATCATTCCATTCAGATCTTTGATTGGTACAAAGCAGTAGAATCTATAGCTGGGAGGCTAATATAAGCCCCTTGTTCAGGTATTTGTACTGTTTCCATGTATAACCCGGGTCAATGGTGTCTTTATATCTGCTTCCTGCAGTCTATTCCCGATCTTCGCTCCATAATCCTGGAAAGTCATTTACGGAAGAAGAAAACTTCTGCTAATTGACATCCTATAGAGTCTAAATCTGTCCTCCGTCGGGTTCAGGGGGGGCTCCGAGTTCTGCCCCTGTGATCTTTTCACGTCCATGTTTAGGTTTGGACGGAGGGGAATTCCTCCTGTTTTTCCAAAGCCGCCCTTTTAATCAACTCCTCCTGGCTAATTTGGCTGCTGCGGCATTCCTGTTCCCGGCTCCCAGTGCTTGCTGGGAAATATGGAAATTTAGAATGTTAGCAGAAGGCCTAATGATATTGAAGGATTCCAAAACCGGGCAGAACTTCTCCAAACATTCACAAGAGTCCTATTACAGCCATCCCGGGGGAAGAGCAGGTCCACATGTGATGGAATGAGATCACCATCCGACCAGTGCAATGTATACAA